AAATCCCCCGTCTCTTGTAGACAGCAGCCGGTTTTGCAAGAAAAGCTTAGGCTGTGCTCTCTCATCTTTGCTTGCAAAACACAAGTCGGGACAGAGATTTTTTTTTTCTATCACAAAGAGCCAGTGCCTGGCCCTGGATCTAATCCTTTATTGGTTAACAATAAGAAAGTAGTCTGTAATTCTGTTCAGGCTGCAGAGCAGTGAGCTTGACCAACCTCCAATAATAATAATAGGTTCAGGGCATTCTGATCTATGACGACAATAATCCTTTATCTGGACTGTCCAGTGAGGAGGTAGACTGTAAGGCAGGCCAGTTAAAGGACAGATAATGTTTACAATAAACTCTAAATAATCTGACCAGCCTGCTCATTTATCATTTGGAAGTCCCTGCTCTCTGATATTACATTCAATTAGTTTCAGACAGCAGCAGTGCAGCACTGCAAGCAACAACAATCAATCAAACCTGGTCTATGACAAATTGTCATCTCTCTAGTCTCTCATCATATCTAGGCAACAGTAATGTTGGAGACACAGTACTGATAAAGTAGTGGACCTTTAGCAATCAGAAACATTGCAAAATAAGCATTATTTTATCGTTAATATTGCTTTAATCTGTATTAGGTTAGCAGTTTTGTTAGGACAGAGGCTACAGTTGGCAATTTAAAGGGTGACTTTGTTCACTTTAAGAACAATACACTCAGTTGACGGTTAAGGGTCAGTTTGTCGAGGTGTTTATATATAATAAAAAAAATCTTTAACCGATGTACGACTAACAGATACAGCTGCAACGTGACCTCTGAGGTTTTTCTATGGACGCACTGAGGGATCAATATGATGGAAACTGGAGAGAAAGCTGGAGTAATGACATATTTATGGATGAGTGAACACCGTCAGGTGGATGGATGTCAGTTGGTGCAAGGACAGCAAGGACTATTGACCAACCACTGTTGCATCATCACACCGATGGATCATTCAAGGCGATGGAGAGAAACCGGTGAAGCTTCCGAACCAGAACTTTTCCTACGGCACAAATGCAGCATCCTGAAATGTCACACTCCTCGACCTCTTCTGGTGCTTCAGGTGTGTCACTCAAATAGTTACAAAAAAGGCTTCTAAAGAATAACCACAGCCTGAGGTCACAGCACACACACACTCACACACATTAGCCATTAATAGCTCATTATGCTACCAAGCCTCATCCAAGCATATCAAAGTCCACTTAATGAGCAGTCAGAAAGTAGAATGGTGAAAGCCAACACAATTTCCAATGGCTTTGTTTGCACAATTAGTGTCACATTTCCTTTCATCTGCACTGTGCTGAATCTATAATAGATTTCATAACAGCCTGCTCCCCGTCACCTTCTCAATGCCCTTCATCATCTATTAGACACTAATGGAAGAGGCTGGGACCTGTGGTCAGACTGTGTTTTTATTTTTATTTTTTTTTCTTTCTGGCACACGAAGTGTTTCCAGTGTTTCCATTACCTTACACATTAGCATAATGAAACCTGGCGGTGGATAATAAATACACTCTAAACACGACCTGCTCACCAAACATGGAACAGTAACGCATGACTTAGAGAAACACAGCAGTTATGTCAACGCCATCTGCACACTGACATTTGATGTGATGTAAAAAAAAAAGGACATGCAAATGAATCAGCATTTTGGAACATGAAATTTTGTCTTCTGTCTTAAAAAAAATCCAGTCTTTATGGCGGGGCGGAGCCAGAGGGTAGGCCAGGTGTTTAATATGCTGTGCAGCCACTGTTAATCAAAGATCAGCTCAGAATGTGCTCCAATAAGTGAAGCATGCCTTCTAGACCTGGAGAGCACAGGCATCTCAGCCTTTCCAAACTCATTTCACGCTGGCTCTCACAAAGCCGTGGTAAACTGGAGGCGCAGTTCATTAATCAAAAATAATGAATATGTAGTGTATGACCCCGCTGTCACTGGTAAAAACAACTTTTTACTAATTTACACAGGCGACCTATATTTTCAGATTTACAACGTGACCTTCCTTGTATCATTTCACCTAAGTCTCAGTGTCAGCAAGTTCTGTGTAGATGATTTAGTTGTTGTAATTTGTTCTTTCCAAATCTATTTTGAATTGAATGAGAGGACATGTAGATTTATCACATTTTCAAGAATATTAGTATTAGAGTACTGAGGTCCTGATTAAGTAACTAATGTATGTAACTAATGCTCTGGCTTGTGTTTTTATTTGTGTAATTATGTAACAAATTGTAAATCAGTGTTTTATCGCTGGCACAGTTCTGTTTTTCATGTTTCATTAAATTCCTCATATCATGACAGGACCAATCTTACTGTAATTTTCACTCCTGTATTTGTCCCTGAAGTTAAAATACCTCCAAACTGCTGACATTGTTGACCTACTTAGATAAGATACCCATGAGGACAATGAGACACTAAAATGAACACACAACACTAGCTGTAAACTGGCTAAATTCTACACCCAAGTAGGAGTGCAAATGTATGTTACCACTGCGTTGCCGCTAGACTGTCCTTTGTCTCTGTTTTGCTACTTGTCAGATGCACCATTTACCTGTTCTGCTCCAGATATGCCAAAGATGTTGGGAAAATTAACTAACAGAGAGCTGTGTCTGCATTGTTTGGTAAAGACCAGCACACGAGAGAAGCTGGGTTTCTGTGATTTCCTTCGAGTTATTTGAAATTATTGTTAAGAAATTTGGTCCAGACTCAAACAGCAGTACACAGACCAGATGTAATGTAAATAAATAAGAGAAAATGTCTCTCATACACGCAAGACACAACAGAGATACATAACCTTAGGTGTTGACATGGTCTCCTGTAAAAGTGAAATGTTTTGGGAGACTGATGTGTCCCAGTGACATCCAGTCAGAGTCTGGAGCTTCACTCCTTCACAGCTGGATAAAAACACTAACCATCCTATCTGAAAGCCTGCCTTTCTCCATTCTGCTTTATCAAGTTTTGAGCACGTGTTCATCACAACGCGATCATTTTCTGTTTTCCCATAATGCACTCCATGATTGGGACTAGCTGGACAATAATACGTGAAGCAGGGGACAGGTGAGAGACTAAATCTACGAAGAGCAGAAAATCCAATTACTTCCTGCTGCGGTGAGTATCATATATAGGATCTTGAACTCACACAGTCTGGGTAATTGTCAGGGACATTGAATCTTGCTGCATGGGAGCCTGAGGTAATTCTCCAACAATGAGAGCCTCTGTGTCCACATTACTACCTCAGTGCTTTCAATTTATTTAAGTCGGCTCGTGTCCATTAAGAGGGAAGGTGAGTATTGGCTCAGACAAGCACAACCTCCTGTCCCTGGAGAGAAGTGCACATCAGGCCTTGTCTGGACTGATAATGCTGCCACATCTGCAGATGGAGAGGAATTATTTTTAAAGTGCAGACATGTCACTGCTGATTTCTAATTGAGTTAGCAGGGGTGAAAAAAAGATGCATACAGAAAAAAATGTGATTTTGTATATTTTAGGATTTGAGCTACAATGGAAAAGTCCCTCAGCTGCCTGCTGTGTTCCAGCTTCCAGGGAAAGGCTCTGCAGGCAGGAAAAATGGGAAAAACAGCAGCTGGGACTTGGTGGTAAAAAATTAATATTCATGTTCTACATATTCCCATGTGACTAATTCACACACCTGATCAAATCAATAATTAACAGGGGAAGTAGCAATGAGGATAAGAAAGAAACCAAAGAACAGACCTTCTCGTTCCACTAATCTCTAACACGTGCATACAATAGAGTGAGGTTAAAAAATAAATTAAACTAAATGACATGGAATCAGACTTAGCAAAAACGCACTACACAGCAGCCCTAAAAAACAAACAATTTTTATCTGATTTAATCTGGCTAAATTTGATAAATAATCATGATTAAGCAAGATAAATCAGAATTCCTAAATATGTAAAAATAAATAAAGCAACTACATGTTTTTGTTTCTCACCTGTTTTGTTTTGTGATTATTCCAAATGATGGAATTATTAATCTGGACAAAGTGAATACGTCAAGCAAAACTTCAGTGAGAAATAAAATGGGGAGGGGGTGGAAAGGGAAGATGGGGCAGACTTGTTTTTTCACACTATCCTCCTTCATTATGGAAGCTTTTATACATACACTTTCCAGTGAATACATTGGTTGACTTCAATGTTACTTCTGTTAACTTTATGTTCATGGTTTGACTGTTGGCTCAATATTAGAACTGAGTTTCAATGCACAGTTTGATGTTTCATGTTAGGCTTTTACTATCTGGACAAATGTCATTTTAATCAGATCGGCATCGGTCTAAACAACAGTCTTTATTTAAAAAAAAACCTGAGTGGACATGAGCCAAAGATCTAAGACATGAGGATCATTCTCACTTCGCTGCCATAGACATAGATGCACCAAATGCAGCAGAAAGTGAAGAAATGCATTCAACCACATCACATCAGTTCATTCACTGGTGGAGGTGTGACTGTCTTTAAACCCGCAGCAGCAGCCTATCATCCATACATCCCTTTAACTGCAGCCTCATCCAGAAAACCACCCAGAGAAACTATTCAACAGCAGCACTAAATCAACACCATGGTGAAAATGCAGAGGGAAGCTCAAACACAGAAAATGGGCAACGGTGTTAAGTACTCCATCAATCAATCTTACTACAGACCACTAAAGTTAATTCTACTCAGCCACAAAGCATCAGAGAGAACTCAACAGGATCTTTTCACTGACTGGAGAGACTTGAATCATTTTAGTGCTTCTTAAAGGGGCTAAGGTCAGAGAAGGTCAGGATGCTGTTGGTCAGTGGCTGAGCAGAATGTTTAAGTTCTTCTTCCTGACATTTAATAATCTGTGTCATTTTATTTACCTTTAGAGCAGCCAAACCTGTGTCTTCCTTGAATGTTTTGTCAACAAGTTCATCACTATGTAGCACTACAGGATAAATCTGTTGCAACAAACATGTAGAGGAGAAAGGGGATGCATCATTTCCTCACCTTTTTCTGGTCCTCCAAGCCATGCAGCACTGCTTTCCTCCTCTGGTGCTGCTGTGGACTCGCCTCTGCTCCTCCCTCCATTTTCCCATAAGTGACTCCTTCGTTGCTTCCACAGATAAATATCCGTATAGAGAATTAAGAGGAATACTTTGTCAGAGTACTTCAGTCCCCTTCCAGTGGGGTTTCCAGTTCTGGTGCATGAATTTAAAACACAGAAAGATTGTGTGTCCATCAACTTTCCTTCAAGGAGAAGATGCCACCCATTCCCCAGTGGGGTCCAAGCAGATTCACGTGCTGTGCCTTGGCCATATCACTTCTTGGTGAGTATTCTCTGTAGTGTCAGGTCAACAAAGGCTGGACTGAGGACAGACAAAAGGAGGACGAGACAACCTCAATGACAGAGACCATCTTTTATCATTGGCTTTAAAAAAGGGTTGGGGTGGATTTCCATTTCTGTGTAGACTTCAGTGTTAGGATATATCCACAGGTATTTAAAAAAAACAACAGAAAAGGCAGATCAGTCACAGGTCGAAGGTCAAGTGAGGCATCTTGGCAGGAAACAAGTGCTGATGTTGAAGAAAAACATGTTAAAAAGTGACAAAATGACAATTTAACATCTTCACGGTGCTACACACACTGTTAAAGCAAATGAACCACACCAGTTCATAAAATACATGATTCTTTTTTTTAGATATCAATGACATTGCAAATAGTTTGAAATTATTACGATAAAACAGCAACTCCTTAAACTTCAATTTTCAAGTGAGAAAAACAATTAACAGAAAATCTGTGACTAATTGCTGCAGGTGTTTTTCCACCAATCACAGAAACACCTGTTTAAAACAACATCTGACAAGATTGTTTTCAAACACAAACTTCTTAAAATGCATTTGGGTTTTCTGTCTGTAGAGTCTTCTTTAGATAATAAACTAACATTTAACTCAGTACAGTTACATTTTCTTGCTGGCGGCTTGAGCCACTGCAGCATCCCTGCAGGAAAATCTGTCTGCACTCACGGGCTGCTTGGCTGACACACGCTGCACCGATCTTAATGAAAAGTCATCACATTTCTAGGAATAGATTAACTACTCATAGACATACTTTGTGAGAGAAGTTGAAGTGAAAAGACACGGTGCTCACCTCCGCACTTCTCCGTCTCTCTCCGTCCCCGTACTGAGGGTCCCTGCCTCGTGTGAGGCTCTGCCCGCTCCTATGGCTCAGAGCGGAGCGGCTAGATGCTGCATTCACGTGCTGTTGGAAACATTGCGTTCAAAAGGCTCGCCACAATCTAAAAATACATATGTTTTTGCTAATGGCTGTTATACATTCAATCAGAATTTTCTCTCAATTTTGTCAATGCAATGAAATTCAATGCAATGCAATACCATACAATACAATACAAGAAATGTCATGGCAAAACACAGCAGCACAGTGAGACAAAATAATCTCAAACAAAATTGCCCAGAATATTCTTGGGAGGTGGAATAAATAAATAAATATTAGCATACCTAAACTGACTAACTAAAAAGTGAAGTGACACCACTTCAGTCACTGGTTATGAAGAACACCAAAGTGTTTTGGTTTGTATGAATTGAAATGTATGATTAATTTGCCAAAACTAAAAAAATACCTTATGAACAGCTTACATGTCCTGTGCCTTAGATTACACAAAATAACGCAATGAATAGCTCAGGCATATGTTGCATGCCTTGTATTGTACGACATAATGTTCCAACTTGTTTTATTTATAGTTAAATAGTATATGAAATGGGACTGAAAATGTTGCATATCAGTTAAAATGTCCTAAATTTCTCCAGTTGGACTGTTGTTGGGCCTACAAATGGGTTGTTATTTTTGTAAATATTAAAAAAAAGTTTAAATTTTGTTTTATTGCACATGTTCACATCTGTTTCAATTGAACTTCAGTCAAATCTGAAAATGTACAATTTATATTGTTAGGTATTTATATTTGATAAGTGGTATTGAAATTAAAATGTGATTTTTTTTATGTGATTTTGGGGTAAATGCCACCTGTCCTCCAAAAAATTATTTCCCAACCAAATTAAGGTGCGAGACTTTATATTATTTTCGGGGAGTACCTGAATGCAGCATTCAGGGTACTCCACGCTTACTCCTGCATCCGTAACATTACGTCACTGAATGCCTACATTCTCTCCCAGCATCCTTGAAGTTTCTGTCCTGTTCCCATGGAGATTATTCGTAAAGAGGACTTTACTGCCATCTAGCGTCCACATAGAGACAAGCCAACAATGAATCATCATTCATAAAGATGCAAAACGATCAACATAACCAACTACCAGTACATAAGAAGGGCGCCGCCCGGCACCGTGTAGTGAGTCCAGAGAAATAATAGTAATAGTTGATGTGTGACATGAATGAATGAATGAATGAGTGAGATAATAAAGTGGAAGTTTGCAGGCGAGTGGTGGAACCTGCTTTAATGTTTGGGGACAGTGACATATATGACACATTTCTTCTCTGCACAAACATTTGTCTTCATTCTACTTCTACTTCTACTGCTTTGCACCAACAATGCACCAGTGAACATTTCACATGAGATGTGATCTGAATTCCTAATGCCACGGCAGATTGAGCAGTTATGGGATTAAGGGTAAACATTTGCTCTTGGTCCTTTACCAAACATATCTCCAGCTCTCGATGAATTATGCATGTGCCCTGTCACTGCTAAACACAAAAGGCTATTTGTACATTATTTTGCCAGATAGCCAGTGCATGATTTACTCATTGCCACCCTGACCTGAACTTTACTGATTGACTGTAGTATGGACTCCACCCACAAGGTAGAACAAATATATGAACTGGTAATTGTCCAGATGAATTGAATTGGTGGACATTGTGTTTAAACATGTGTGCTGAATTTTCTTCCTAAATTTCCAATTCATTAAATTACCAAAGCCCATCTGACATGTTGTTAACAGAGAAGGCTAACTTAGGGGGAAACCTTAATTGTGCCTTTGCCCTTCATCTCTCATTGAAAATATCTTTCCTGCCAACAGCCAGTATTCAGCCAGTAATTATCATGTAAATTAGGATTAAGTGCAAACAGAGAACACTTTAATCAAATAAGTCTGTTAGTTAACATTCAGTAACATGGTTGTAGGTTGCATCTGTGCATGTGGGTCTGATGGATGGTTCACGGTTGGTCTGAATTAAATAATTAGTTTGTTTTTGATAAGAATGTTGATGTAAACCAATAAATAAATAAATAAAAGAGAACACATGTCCAGACATATGGGCTTACAAAAGTGCAACACAACTGAAGCATGTTTGTACTATTTGATAAATGCTACACAATTTAATTTTAACAACAGTGCCATTGACAATAGCATCTAATTAAAATGCATTTCTGAATACAAAGGAAAACACACAGGACAAGAAATATATTGTGACCTAAAATGTCTCAGTGTACACTAAAATATTGTTTAGCTTACACTGTATGACTTAGTCACAAGATGATTATCATAAAGAGAGCTTATAGTCAAAGTCATAAAGTTCCGGCACAGATGCTTTATTTTGAAACATCTTTTACTATATTTTTGTCAAGCATTGCGTGGTGCTACTTTCTCCTCAAAAATAAACTATTTAAAAATAAATAGTAAATGTGTTTTTGACCGAACCTCAGTGGAACATGTTAAAATGATTGCCGTTTACACTAATAATGATCTAGGACCATGCTTTTCTTTTACAAAAATATAATTGACTTTTGAAAGAAAATTGATTTCAGGCCTTAGACGAGGCGAAGTAGCAAGCATGTTCTAATAGTACTTATAATATTCTCAGTAAGTAAATTACCAGGGATATACGATTAGTCCTGCCTAATATTTAGGTCATTTGCCACACAGTAGAATATTTAAAACATAACATTAATCTTAAATATCCGCTTAGATTCTTTACTTTAAGCAGGAGAAAAGTTATTTTTCCTCCCAACAGGAAGTGCTGCGTTGTCGTCACGGTGACGTCGAAACGTGCTCAAACTGGGCGGAGTCAGTCCTGTGGTCATTCATACAAGTGGGAAAACTTTGCTGTGCTACAGTAAAGTTGACCAACAGAAGTTCCCGCTAGCGGAGTCAAAACCAGCGCCTATTATCTTGTGGGCTTCTATACATGCATCGAACTTCCTGTTCTAGTGTTGAAAGGGAAGAAACTAGTGAACTATTATAAAAAGTCTCCACATCTGGAAATCTGTTACTCCCACAAGATTATCGTTTATATGGACAGATTTCTCTGAACACAGCTTATGTCGTGAGGCGTGGGTAAGTCTGCTAATATTTTTTAACATGGCGTTATGTTTTTTAGCGATTTTAACTTAGAATGTGTAAACTAAACCGTTGGTTTCGCTGAACAAATAGTGGTTTCGGTGTCGTCGTTGCCGCCCCGTCGCTTTAAACCGATCGACACGTACGTTCTGTGTTTCTGGCTGTATTTATGTTATAGCTGTTTTAACTGTTGGTACAATTAAGTTTTTTCCAAATTTTTAGGTTTTTTATTCCTGGTAAAAACGTATTATTTTCAGCCTCAAATATTACTGTAAGCGGTCGGCTCTTGCTACACAGCAACACACACAAACCATGGTTAATCTAATATCGGTAAGCCTATATACTGCACTGATGTCATTGTAGTATGAGAAGAATGCTAATCTGTACTAAAGATATTAAACTTAAAGTAAGGCGCCGGTATTACATCAGTAAATACGTTCCGCGCCAAGGATTTCAAACACAGTTTACCTGCGCGGGACAGACTTGACTTCCGGTGGGATGCCTCGCGACGTGCTGCTATTGGCTATTTTACATAGACGAGGGTGGGGCTTCTTCTTTAGTTTGGCTCCAGGATTCGTCAGTTAACCGCCAAGATGTTTGTGGACAGATATATGATTATTTACCACATTTCAAGAGAAATGTTTAAAAGGAACTTTTTTTCTTAACTCGACTGATCCTCTATATACAATTGTCAGAATAAAGAGTTGGTGCATCTTCCTGCGTACTAGTAACAAGTTAATTTTTTTTAAAGAAAATAAGTGTTGTTTCCCCCGACGTAAACAGTTGTACAATATATGACTAAAATCAGTGAGTTCCAGTGGAATATTGTAGCGGCAGAATATGTTGCAACCGATGTCGATTCATTTAGAATTTAATTTACCATACCTAACCTAAATAATAGGTCACAAAATAGCATTCGTTCTAGTGATTAAAACAAACGCACGAGTTTTATTGAGTGGATTTGGATCTGTGCAACCATAAACACTACATTTGTTAAAATATGTCTATTTTGTTTCATTTTTAATAAATTGTCAAATGACAACTGATAATGTCGTTATATGAATTAATTAAGCTATAAAGTTTGTGCTTTGGCCTGAAACAGACTCTGTTGGTCCACTGCGACCACAACTACACAGTTTATTATTGTGTAGTCTGACCCAACGCCCTAACTGAGTTTCTTACTTGCAACATAAATAGCATGTACACATATAGCCCAGTATTTAAAACATGATGATTTAAACAGGAGGGAGAAAAGATTCACAAATGTTTTCTTCTTTGTTTTTGGTTCTTAGGATGGTGGCCTTTTAATACCTCAGTTACTGTGCATGTGTTCTGTGTCGGCGGAGAACGTTTTAACCATGGGTCCCCTGACCACACCTAAAAAAGGAAGGGAGGGACCCTCTGGTGATCCATGGACACCAACATCTAACCTCAAAATGCTCATAAGCGCTGCTAGTCCTGACATTAGGAACCGAGAGAAGGAGCTGTGCATGGACCACGAGGGGCAGGTAAAGTACACATTTTAGAATTACCCACGGATGTCTACCTTTGAACAGATGTAAATTACAACTTGTTTTATTATCTAGTTCCAGGATATTGAAGCTGGAGAATCGGAGAAATTGATCAGCAGAAAAGAAAAGAGTCTGGGTTTGCTTTGTCACAAGTTCCTTGCCCGTTACCCAGATTATCCTAACCCTGCTCTGGACAATGATATCTGCCTAGATGATGTGGCCAATGAACTTAGTAAGAAATCATTTTTAATTTTATTTGGGCTTTAAAAGAAACAGCATCATGTATCGGAGATTCATTATTGTTACGTTTGTTTGTTACTCATTCTTTTTCTGCCACTTTGTGTCCCCTTCCTCTTTACAGATGTGGAGCGCAGACGAATCTATGACATCATGAATGTGCTGGAAAGCCTTCATATGGTGAGTCGCTTTGCCAAGAACCGCTACACGTGGCACGGCCGCTCAAAATTGGCCCAGACACTGGCGATTTTGAAGAAGGTGGGCGAAGAGCACCATTACGGTCAGCAGATGCTGCAGATTAAGCAGCGGCTTTTTGACTTTGACGGTGAAGAGAAGGAGAATGAGGAGGCAGCAGATTTGCAGACAGATGAGCAGGGACAAAAGGAGTTGTTCTTTGTGGAGCTTCCAGGAGTTGAGTTCAAAGCAGGTGGGATTGTTGGTTAACTTCATTTATATAACAAAAATTTGTACATTTATGGTGGACTAGAGTATGTGATGCAGTTTGTCCAATTTACATGGAGGCCTATGGATGTTTACCACCAAAGAGTGCAGGAAGACTGCAGTGATTCTAACTGTCCTCTTCTCTTCTTGTCCATCGTCATATCCAGCCTCTGTCAACAGTCGGAAGGATAAATCTCTACGAGTGATGAGTCAGAAGTTTGTCATGCTGTTTCTGGTGTCTGACACTCGCATTGTATGTCTGGATGTGGCGGCAAAGATCCTCATTGGTGAAGACCAGGATGCAGATCAGGACAAGAACAAGTTTAAGAGTAAGCACAGCACAGTTCTTTCTGGCCCAAGAAAAAGTAACCAAGTACTTTTTACTTCTCTGAAAACTTCCATTATAGACCACATATAGTCATTCAAAAACAAGCTCTGCATTAACAGATTTAGAAGGATCACTAACTAGCAATTCTATGGCTCTTTTTATAGCCAAAGTGCGGCGGCTCTATGATATCGCTAATGTGCTACGAAGCCTTAAACTCATCGAGAAAGTCCACGTTACAGACCAGAGGGGGAGGAAACCTGCCTTTGAATGGATCGGCCCAGTGGAATTTCCACACATCAAAGGTATTGTCGATGCAACCTGTTTATTTTCAAGGATTCACTTTTGAAAAAAATCCTGCACTTTTCTTCAGTCCAGTGCTGTTGTGTCGTTTAAAACCAAAATTCAATGCCCTGTTTTAGACCTTGAGAGATCAACTTCTGAATGTTCATCCAAGAGGACAAATGTCCTGGAGTCCAGGGCGTCTCTAGACAACTGTGCTAAAAAGCTCTTTTCATCACCGGGAACCAAACGCAGTTTTACACGACACCCCTCCCTCATTAAGCTGGCAAAGAGCATCCAGGACGACAGACGGAAGATCAACTCGGCACCTAGCAGTCCTTTCAAGAATTCACTCAGTGAGTAAAGCCATGTGTTTGGATGTAAACGTTTACTACAATCACATTCAAAATAAAAAATATCTCCATTTTCTTTCTTTTCTTTTTTTTTGTCGTCAGGTGATGCCTCAAACATGGAGTCAAACAAAATGGCCCAGCTTGCTGCTATTTGTAAGATTCAACTGGATCAAGAGTCTGTGTAAGTTTGAATCTCATCAGGCAGTTTGGTTAAAATAAACCTTGTCCCTGAAGATTCATTTGTCTATAACTCAGTCCAAGATGTGAAATAAAATGTCTGCTTCTATTCCAGGACTAAGGCTGAAGACCCCAAACATTGTTCTGCTGATTCAGAGCCTGCACCTTCTAATTCAATGGAAAAGCCTCAGATTTCCTTGCTTACCCCGATCCAGGAGTCCAGAGGCAACACCACTGTCCACCTCACTCCAGTGACAGCTCAGCCTTCAGGCTCCGTGGCTTATATTCCTGCCCAGTGTTCGTCTTTGATTCCAGTCATGGTGTCTCAGCAGCAGGGAAACAGACCCTACGCTGTGTATTTGCCCACCTCGTCCCTCAGGTCCAACTCTCTGGCCCGGCCGCAGCCCACGAGTCTTGCTGTGCGCTCTATGACATTTGAAGATAAGATGGGACAGAGTCCCATGAACCAGTTTGCTGCTGGCAGGGCATCAGAAGTGAGCCCCCTGGTGTTCAAACGGATACGTTCGGACTCTGCATCAGACAGCAGCCCCAACAAATCAAGGAGAACTGGTCAGAACTTTAAGGTAAAGACGTTTATCTATATGGCTATAGGTGGTGAGTGTCATGATTTTAACAGATACAGAGTGACAAACCTTTATGTCTTGTTTGTAGGACTCTTCTCCAAAGCTCTGTGAGATTCTACAGGCCCGCCTGAAGAGCCACCGTGGCAGTCAGCTCTCCAGTCGGCCCTCGCCCCGTGCCCTCCACCTGGACCCAGAGTTTGTCAACACCCCAGCTGATTCAAAGGCTGACCAGACACTAGTCCAGAGCCTGGAGACCTTCCTGGACAAAGAAGAAAAGGCAGTGACTTCTGACAGTGAGGCAGGACTGACACCGGGATATCTTCATACTGAGGTACAAACGAGCTGCTGCTCTGCTTTTGTCAACCCATCATGAAAAACTCCTCTAACATTTTATCTTCTGCTCTTCCAGACTTTAGTTCCAGCAGGATACCTGATCCCAATCTCCCAGCAGTCCCTCCTCAGCTTCAAGGAAGCTAAATGTTCGGGAGGTGAAAACAATGGAGCCTTAACGCCCACCTACAATTTTCAGCTCACACCAACTGCAGGTGATTTAAATTAAATTTTTTTAAATTTTCAAATACTGACAGACAGTTCTCTGAGACAGATCAGGTGTTGGGTTTCTTTTCTAATCTGTTCAGTCTTTTAGTTGGAGTTATCTAAGGCATTCCGGGTGTCATTAAATTAAGAAAATTACCAAATTGTATTTTTAATAATTGTTTCATTTTAAGAGTGTACCAACCTTTCTGCAGATTAGACCTCAATCACTCAACATTTAAAAAAATAGATTTGTTGTCTGGTCACAAGATTATTTACACAAAAATAACATTTGAATGTTATTTTATCATCAACAGGCTCCAGACCCACCTCGGCTCAGGAGGTCACACCCATTAGTCTCCGCCGCCACAGACCTGCTGCCACTCCTCCTCCCGCTCCTGCTACTGATTCTCCCCGCACAGTTTCCGCACAGCCTCTCCACCTCCACAGCCCCAGCCCTGCAATTCTCAACTTCACACTGCAGAACCTCGGTCTGATTTCTGGCTCCAGCCCAAGAAATAACTTTGCTTCCACCCCGACCTCAGAGTACAGCACCACGCTGTCCAGTCCACTGGCTCTGCAGCAGCAGAGGAGCATGGTCTTCATCAAACCCCTGTCCCCGCTGCCTGTCCACCAGTCTGTCTCTCCTCATTCTGTGGCCCTGCTCAGTTTACCACAGGTACGGTTCAATTACTGTGACGCGTTGGTTTGTCACTTTAAACTTCTACACTTGGATTGTCTGCTAGGAATATTTAGTTGTAAGAACTATAGATTATAGAACATGACACCAGTGGTCCATGCATCCTGGAACCCTGAACAACTTTTTAAAATGTATTTGCAATTTAAAAAAATTGTGAATACCAAGGCTCAAAGAATTCACCTGAAAGAATAAAAAATTAACAAATAAACGCACACGGCAGTTTAAAAATATCAATTAGTTTAATTTGTTTTCATTTTTATTTATGTAAAAAGAACTATTTTTAATAAACATATTGGAAATTTGGAGTTTTGTTCTTAACTCTTGTTTTTAGTTTTCAGAACCATGTTGAGTTAGTAGATGATCCTAAAATAACTTTTTTTTTTCATTCCATTGTTTAGTCTATGATGGCGACCCCTAAAGGGAATGGACTCCCCCAGCCCAGCTTCTTTCAAACACCTGTTCCTGTCTCACCTCTGGCTGCCATGGTAACGGCCAGCGCAGCTGCATCAGCCACTAAAACAGTTTATGTTCCTCAGAGGAGGCTGGATGTCAACACGGAGGATTCCTGAAGGAAAGTCTGGGTGGATTCTCACAGTGAGGTTCAACGGTGCATTATGTGGAGGGTGATTAGTTGTTGTTTTTAATTATAATTTTTTTATCATATGTGTAACAGTATTCATTACCTGTGAACATTTCACAGAGGCCTCTCTGCCTTCATCCTTATCAGCAGTAGCTCTAAATATAGTTGCTCTGATAGACGTTGGCCGTGAGCCAGTGGACTCATGGAAATGTAATTTCTGACCACAGTCTCATGAACACTAGAATATTTTCAGATGATTTTTATTTTGTTACAGAGCAGAATATCTGAGAATGTAATTTCTGCTTAGTCAGTCATGTAATGTCCCCCGCCCCAATTTTGAACTCAAAGCTCAATCTAAAAGAATGACCCATTTGTGTGATGACATAATTTAAGATATAAAACACCTTCATTTGGAATCAATGACATTACGTTGTGGTTGAGTAGCATCTGACGATGTTACTTTTGCATATGTTCACTGTTGACCCTTTAGAATATGTGGATATTTGTGAAAAAAGAAGTCTGAGACTAATTGTTCTGTGAAGTTTAATTTATAATTGAATGGAATGTTTTTGATAATCTGCTGACTGTGAAATTTTAAATAAATCTTTTTCTTAAAGAATTTTTTTTGTTTTCTTCATTTTAAATAAATCTTTTTCTTAAAGAAAATGTTTTCTTTTGTTATTTTGTGCACCGCAAACAGATACATGAGGCTGACAGTTATTAGATATAATACATACAAGTGTTAGATTATCATCTGCTGTTGACCGGGTTAATGATCCACTATATGTAATCATTTATTATTCATTTACAGTTAATCTGAAACTAAGAAACAGAAAATTTAAAATAGGGTGTCAACATTTTTTGGTTTGGAGCTGCTTTTGAAATGATGCTAATAATGATATTTACTTTGAGTAAATGCATGTAGATGTATGGCACAATACCTATATGGTCACTAATTCAGTCCTCCAGATTTAATCTAAAAATAGAATGACATGTATATTTTTATTTAGCCACATTCATTGCTCATGGTCTGCCAGTACTTCCTTGTGTTCAACTGGTAAACCGATCCACTTATTGGGCATCCCTGATCTATACCTAAATACTTTTAGATTTTTTCTAAATTAAAACAGTTTTTCACAATGCTGTGAGAATTTCTGCTTGACGTATGGGACGATTCTGAGATAAACTTGTTTTTAGTTAGTTTAGTTACGTTTTATTAATATTAAGTTTAATATAGAAATAAAATATCTAAAATTCATCAATACCAGATGGAATATATCTTGCCTTTTCTTTCTGTTTACATCAACACTGACATTCTACACTATTTTCAGCATTTGCAGTTGAAAGCAAATTAAAAAAAAGAAACATAATACACAGGTTGGGCAAATGAGTGGATTATGGGTGAGACACTTGTGGAATTATATAATTATTATAAAATAAAAACAGATTAAAGAGAAGTCAAAACTAAGATATAGACCAATGTATATAAATAACCCATTTATATTTTGGATTGGGCTGAGAATATATCGATCATGACTAATAATAATTATAATAATACATTCTGTGTTAACATTATCAGACATACAGTACACGTCACTCTGCGTTAAAAGTTTTAACTCGACTAATATGACATCAAACAGACGCTGTTATCCTCTGCGTTCAAACATCTGAACAGAACCTCCAGCCGACCAACCAGTTTAACTGCTCTGCTACGAGCTCCACTCCACAAGGTCACGACTGTGGCTCCGACACAACACAGTTGTCATTTACATGCTTTAAGTTCCCCTCGTGTGTGTGTAATCCCAGGGCTGTTTGCAGCAGTGGCTCAGAGTTTCCTGCCTCCTGTGTCTCAGCGGGTTCATGAACAAATGTGGGCGAGTGGCTGATGGTCAGGCCTCTCTTGGACTGTGATGAAGGGTCAGAGGGGCTTCGCTCTGTCACATGTTATTTTCGGTGGATGCTTTCATTCCAGTGTCAGCAGTGGGCTGTGGTGATGGTGAGATGGACGCTATATAAGCTGTGGTGGCGCCTTCACCTCCAAATTTGGACAGAAGCGTAAAGACCAAAATCCAAGGTAAGGATTTGTTTTATGTATTTATACGGCTGTATTTGTGGGTTCTTGTCTTCTCTATATTATTTTCTTATTTTATATTGTTATTGGCCTGAATATATACAGTACTTTTCTGTTTATGAGAAGATGCAGTCTAAGACAGCTACTATTCCAATGACCAGGCTAGCGTGATCCACCTACTGGACATACAGCCCTTTATACATGCCTTGTATGTTGACAGGGTGATTTAATGTATGTAGCTTTATGGTACAATATCATTCAGTTCTCACAGCACACTGTCACCACTACACACTATGGAATTATATTCATATTTTAATGTTTTTATTTGAAATGGTCGTGATCTACCAGCACTGTCTTTGCGATCTACTGGTAAACCTGATCTACTTATGTCAGGAGTCAGTTCTGTACGACACGTCCATCTGAGGTCTATCGTCAGACAGTATTTACTGGACTCATTTATCAGTACTCTAAGGTGGTGATCTGCCTCTATCATGAAGAGGAACAGCAACAGTATAACAGACCATTGGACATTAAAATCATCAAAATTGGGCAAACAACACATTTTTGCTTCTTATTTCATCTGGATTTCAGCTAAATTAAAAAATGTAATCTGTTTTGGGAAGATGGAGGATTTAATCTGCAAAATGGTTTCTTTTATTAGTCATATTCGATTGAAATGTCATTGGTCATTTCATACCATCCTGATAACTTAAACAGTTTATTTAGTATCATAATATTTTCTGTTACACGAGGAAAAGAAAACTGTTGGTTTCTAATTCACATTAAATTATGTCATTTACCTGACATGAATATTTTTGTTTCATTTAATTTCATATTTTATAAGATGCCAAACTGGGGTGGAGGAGCCAAGTGTGCAGCCTGTGAGAAGACGGTGTACCACGCAGAGGAGATCCAGTGCAATGGGAGGAGCTTCCATAAGACCTGCTTCATCTGCAGTGAGCACTGGTTCCATTAACTCTGACCTGTGTGTCTGACTGGACATTACTGGACGATGTTTTAACCCAGGAGATCATTTTGCCCACACTTTATATCTTCTAATAAACCTGATGAACTAACTTTGACTAATTTTAACAGTTTTTATTCAGGGTCCACATGTGAACAACATGTTTTTTCAAACACAGCTTTATCCTATTGTACTGTCCTACACGATTAGGGAACACAATATTCACTTACCTGTTTTTCAGTTCCTCCTTAATTCCTTTCTTTCCCTCAGTGAGTCGTCCAGACAGTTCTGTCGTTGTCATTGACCACAATCATGACCGTCGGTCCAGAAGTGAAGCTCCTCCTGACCACAGAACAACAAACAAACATTAAACTCTCTAAACACTGACACCTCATCCTGACAGATATTTAGAACCCTAATTTAACCTTGTTACCTTTGGTTTACTGTGTGGTGAAACCAAAGTGTCAGGAAAAAAAGAATGGCTGACGACTCTATGAACATCAGGTGAGTTGAATGAGCAGCCAATGATGGAGGGAGACACAAACAGGGGAGGAGCAAAGGAACAAAGGAGGTAGACACTGTGTTGAGTTCCACTGAGGACCAAGATGGAGAACTTCAGTAGTTCTGTTTTATTACCTGTCGCCCTGCTTCCTCTGTCTCACTCAGACCTGCCAAACAGCAGCAGGAAAAATAACACTGAGAGGAAATGTTCATAACAGTCAGGAGTATTTTCTCTTTGTATTGGCTTTTTTTTTTTACATTTCCCCAAAATGATTAATTTAGCTGCTACTACTTTGTTCTTTAACAGTTTTACCATCAGTGGCCACCTTCTGTCACAGTGACTCTTCTCACCCTGTTACCATAAAAAAAAACCCTTTATCTTCTGCTTGAGAAGATAAAAGTCTGAGGTCACTCTTTATTTACTGGTTATATATTGTTCCAGTCACTTCTCTTCCACTCTGGCCTGAATTTCTTCTTCTACTCTTATTGTGATCCAGACCTACTGTATCTCTTGGGTTGACATGTCTTTCACAAGCGCTCACTCCCAAGAGGAGCTCTGAAAGGTCGCTGCGATAAGCAAATCCATCTGCTACGCATTCATCTTTTCTCCAACATTCACATGGCACTTTGTTCTCACTCTAAAATAGAAACACACCAGACATCTGCTCATGTTTAATGCCACTGCTGACTGATAAAACCCCTTGTCTGGACGCTTTATTTAACCTCCACGGCCACAGGCCTCAGTAATGTGCATTATTTTGTGTTTCTTGGTCACAGTGAGCTGCAGAAAAGGCCTGGACAGCACCACGATGGCTGCACACGAGTCGGAGATCTACTGCAAGTCTTGTTATGGAAAGAAATACGGTCCCAAAGGTTATGGATACGGACAAGGAGCTGGAGCTCTGAGCTCGGATCCCCTAGGAGACCACACTGATCTGCAATCGAATGAGTGAGATAATAACATCACATGGTTTTTACACCTCTCGTAGTCAGAGAGGCAACATCTAGACACACCCATGGTAAAACTATGTGCATAAGGTAACAAGTAAACACTGTGAAGTGTTTTTTTTTTCTAGGTCTAGATCCAGACCTGCTTCATCTAATGCAAATACCAGCAAGTGTTCCCAGAAGTTTGGAAGCTCAGACCGGTGCTCCCGCTGCTCCAAGGCTGTCTATGCAGCAGAGAAGGTGATGGGGGCCGGGAAGGTAAGAGTGGTCCAACTACTGAGTGATGCTGTAGTTAGAAGTTTTGGGAAAAACAAGAAACTAAATACTACTCCCAATACTTTTTTGTTGACTTCTTGACTAAAGTACTCGACCATGTCTATTTCCTTTGTGCAGCCCTGGCATAAAACCTGTTTCCGCTGCGCACTGTGTGGCAAAAGCCTGGAATCAACCACAGTGACTGACAAAGATGGAGAGCTGTACTGTAAAGGTACATGGACATACACGTACATCATCGAGCTGGAAAGTTCTGTCCATCTAAAATAAACACGCACAAATACTTTCTCCAAATCTTTTTCAGTTTGCTACGCTAAAAACTTTGGGCCTAAAGGGTTTGGACTGGGAAACGCTGCCATGTTGGAAGAACGACAGTGAAGACAAAGAGGAATAGTTTGTTTTTGTGTCATTGTTTTCAGGATCTTTATGTATTATTACATTTACTGTTACTCTCAGTTCTTACCTTCACACTGAACAATGTCTGGTGATGCAATAAAAATAACTGCAATAATGATGTTATATTTAAAGCAGAGCATCATGTGAATGTGATGTATCTAAATATGGCATTTCTGGAATACAAGAATATTTGAGCAGACTCTTATATTTACATCTTTAATGGAACATGTAGTCCATTTGTAGATGCAAGTAACACATTTCCAGTTTTGCTTCATTATATTAACAAAAGTCCAATATCATAAAGTCTGGTGGACATTAACGATAAAGCAGTGGATTAGATCAGTAGAATATTCATTAGATCAGGTCGTAAACAACTACTGTGTGTGTTAGCAGCCAATCTGATCACAGGATTAACACAGGATCAAACTACAGGGAGACAGTAATTTAGTTGTCCAACATCAGGACATTGGACAAAAGTGTTAGGACATGAAATGCTGATCTACATTTGTAGCTGAAATAAGAAGCTACAGTGACTTACATGCACAGAGCTGCAAAAAATGTAAAAATGAAAATGTTAGTTGCTACAGACCAGGGGTCACCTGGTAGCCAAGGGGTATGTTCTAAAAATAAAACTGGTCAACAAGAGGGTCAGAAACTGTACTGCTACTGTGCTTTTTGAATAGAAGAGTGTTTACTATATTGTATGTCCCAGAACTGATTATTATTACATTGGTCAGGAAGTCTGTATCAGACAAGTAGCTCTCTGTATTACTAAGTACCCTTGAAGTAGCTCTCAGTTTCAAAAAGGTCGGCGACCCCGGCTATAGACAATAAATGACCTGTACGTTTTCAAAACAATAAATTAAGAAATCTGTATATAAATGAATTTGTGAATTTGAAACAGGGCTGAAGCAGTTACTACAGTTACAACTGTGGTCGTGGGAGGAAACTACAGTATCTGGAGAAAACTCACACACACAGTGGGAGAACATGCAGACTGGAAGATCGACCGGGATTGAACATGAACCCACTGATCTTCCTGGAGTAAATGTAGGTGTGTATTCTACAGCAGGGGAGGAGTTCACACACAACCAGGTGAAAGACAGGATCAACATTGCTTTATTGACTAGTGGTCACTCATTATGAAACACATGCAGCTTTTACAAAAGTCATCAACTTGTACAAAGACCCTTGTTCCAGAAGTGTTTACAAAATTATGTTTAAGGTTTGTAAAAAAAGCTCTCAGAATCACAATTGCACCATTTAAATTTTCAACTTCACCAACTGTGACTTGATAAGGCGGCGGCAGCAACAAAACACAACTCAATCACTATTTACAAGTTGCCCGATGTCAGAGCAATGTCTACAGTCACCGTACTCCGTCCTCTCCAGACAGCCCACCCGTAAAAAAATAAATAAATATATTCTATGGTTTTTGGTCCACAACCGTTGGTTAAGGACTGTGAGCCTTGACCCTGAGGGAGGTCAGACCATATCTGTGAGTCCGAACATGTGCTGGTCGTGTCCAGCAGGAAAAGGCTGCGTCCAGTCGATGATTGCAGGCTTGAAGAGGCCACAGCAGCGCAGCTGGAAGAAGGACACCAAGTTCTTCACTACACCCAAGCTGCCAAAAAAACACACACACACACACACACCACAGATATGAATGAGGAATCTCAAAGCAGTGGTTAGCATGAGTGATTGGTGCAGAATCACATTCACAAACGTGCGCAGACACGTTCACTCACTTGTAAGGATTCTGTCTCAGAGACACCGTCTGTCGCATCTTCCTCTGGTGTAACGTCAGACTGTTCCTCTCTGTGGTGGTCAGTCCAAAGAAGGCAATCTGCTCTCACACACACACACACACACACACACACACACACAGACAGAGGCATGTCAAGCTCCTTCACTGATGGAACTTTAAGACTGTGAGGACTTCACTGGACAAAAAGATAGAAAAATAAGAATTTATGGCCAAATAATGAACAGTTGAGGTTAGTACCACCAAGTTATTTGTGATGATTTGTAAATTATTGAAAATTGACCGAAAATTATTTTTTAAATTTGACTAGCAACTAAATAAATGTGGAATTACTTTTTAAAATAAGTTCATAAGTTCAAATATTCAGTGACGTATTTCCAAGCCTCCTATTACCATTATACCATCTGTGACAGGGAACAAACCCAAATGTGACCTATACTAAAGCTAACAGTCCCAGCAGGCGGGCAGTCACCTGGTACAGCTGAAAGACCAGGGACAGGCTGGACCAGCAGGTGTGGTAGAACGACAGCACGAAGATGCAGAGCAGCCAGGGAGAACAGCTGACCAGGTTGGACACAACGCCCCACAGACCCTCCTCTTCATAATGTAGGGGACAGTGAGTTGACCAGTCTGAAAAAAATGACACACAGAGAAGAGCACGCGTGTGTTGCTGCTGCTGCACACGGACCAACAGAGCGGTTTCACACTGGTCGTCGTGTCACTTACACACAAAACAGCCATAGAACATCCAGGCTCCCATCAGGGCCAGAGAAAACAGGAAGAGGATGAAGTAGGCGTGATTCCTGGCACCTGGATGGAGGGAAACTTTGTCCATGACACAGGACAGGTATACAGGTACAACAACTGGACAGAGCTACCTCCACTGTTCAGATTATATACTGTATATATGTATATTCCAGATTTGTGTGTCAAACAGCTGCATCCACCCAGAAGACCTGGACTGACGACCACAGCCACCTGTCCTTACCTCAGGTGTGAACACTAAGCCCTAACATACCAATGCAGCTGTTGGTCCACATGGAGTGATGGTCCTGCTTGGCCACACAGGCGTCACAGTAGAAGCAGTGGTGCGCTCTCATTGGTTTCTTTATCTGTCAGAGATGGAGAGTTAAACAGAGGAGTTAGTCACTGGTTACACTGATTTGACTTGAACCATTAGACTTACACTGATGACAGTTCATGTGTTTGTATTCTCACCATGCAAGAGGTGCAGAATATTCTAGGGTCCAGACAGCCTGCTTCAGCCAACACCAACACGTTCTAGAACACAAAACCAACACTCAGCTCAACTTTACCAGAAAAACAAAAACCTTTTTTTTTAAACAAAATGAAATAAACCTCCCACCATTTTCTTCTCTTCTTCTGTTGCTCTGACAAAGCCCGGGTCAGTTCTGCAGGTCCGCAGATAGTAATAGACCAATGCAGTGGCATTTAGGGTGAAGAGAACCTGGACTGTTGCACTCGGTCCATGTGAGGTTAAAGGTTAAGAAACTGTTTTCATTTATTAAAATCACGTGAGCTGTATTTGTAATGACATCGACTGTTGACTGACACTGTTGAAAAGAACTGAGCGATTTGAAGGATATTTGGCACAAACCAGAGGCACCAGGTGAGGAGCATCCAGAGGATCGAAGCCATGAGAGACGACACGGGGAGACTGGACTGAAAAGCTGCACTGGAGAAGTTTCTGTTTGTACACATGTACAGTTTAGTAAACATTAAAAGACACTAAGAGTGTCATTATACAGAACCAACAGAGGACACGTCTTCCCACCTTGTCACCAGATTGACCACACCTACAACACAGGCCAGCAGGATCCCTTTGAGTAACCAGGACTCTGTCTTCATATCAAACACGGCTCCTACACTCCCAAAGGTGGCAGTGCAGAGCAAAAACTGAAGCATCACCTGAGAAAACAGAAAAGACAGGATGTCACGACAGAGAAAGTTGAGTTTTCTTTGGTATTTGAGAGCAGGACATGACAGGTTTCGTACCCTGTATCTGTTGACGAGGCGCAAACAGCGAGAGTTGGAGCGAATCCTCTCCTGTTTGACATGATTGAGCATGTGAATGAGCAGCGGGCTGTGTACCTGCTGGGCCAGGTCTAAAGGAGTGTGACCCTAAAAGGGGGAAAAAAAGAATACACACTGAGACAAACAACAATTACGTAAACTGAAGAGCAGCAAACAATTTGCATGTTTGTCTGTGGGGGCGGAGCCAGAGTGCCAGAGAAAAACATATGCAAAGTAGGAAGAAAATGTCAAATCTAAATAAAAGGCTCAATGACAGACAAATAGAACATCCAGGGTTTATACTTGGGTTCCTCAGGAGTTTCCTGCTCTTTATTTACCTAAGACTTTATTTAACTAAAATGTCAATTTTAGTTTTTGTCCATTCTTACTGTTACAAAGACTCAAGTTGTTCGACATGAACCAATGACAAATGATTCCTTATTTCTTTAGGATGACATTTTCAACAGGCAGTAGACAGCAGGACAGTTGAGCACAGACACTAGTCAACTTCCTTTCCTTTTACTGTCTGATCCACTATTGCAGCATAGATGTTTTTTGCACAATACAGTTTTGTCATGTGTCACTTGCTTTACGAAAGTGAGGCAGATACTTTCACAAGATAACCACTTCAATGTTTCACTGTTAAAACTAGGCTTACGTTAATGTTGTCTACGTCCACGCTGGCGCCAGCCTCCAGCAGGATGTGGGCGGCGTCGACATTTCCTGCCAGTACAGCGCAGTGCAGTGGAGTGTTTCTGTTCACTTTGTCCACGGCGCTCACAGAGGCGTTATTTTTTATCAGGAAGTTGGTGGGTTCAGGACTAGAAACAGCGAAAGAAAAAGCAAAATGGCAATTCGGCCGTGGACAACAAAAAATACAACTTTTAAAAGAGAAGCAAAAATTGCTTAAAATAAATAAACATAGAAATCAAGACATTGTATCAATTTAAAATACTACTTAAAAAACAAAGTTAGTCGGCTGTAAAAAAAGGGTTGTTTTATTTTTTACCCAATAATCTTCTGGGCTGCCAACATCAGTGGTGTTTGTCCGTTGCAGTCAGGGCTGTCGACCTCCTAGAACATGGGAAACAAAAAAGGATCACATTTGAAAAAAAAAAAAAAAAATTAACAGAAACGTCTGTACAAGTGAAAAACGCGGCCCTGAGATGCTCTGACCTGTCCTTTAGCCATCAGGTAAGCTGCTATAGCCATGTGCTGGAAGAGGATGGCCAGGTGCAGAGCGCAGTAACCTTCTCCATCAGCAATGGTGGGATCGGCTCCATATCTCATCAGCTGGATCACCATGGGCAGGTGGCCCTGCCTGTTCAAGAGCACATAATGATGAGGAGATTAAGAGAAATCTACCGAAGAGCCAGAAAACAACTCAAGCTGATTTGAAAATAGTCAGAGTAAAATAAATGCCCATACTTGACAAACATCTTATCATGCAAAACTTTCTTTTTATATTTAACGGCTGAACACAGTTTAACAAAGATGTAACTTTTAATAAAAATAAAACAAATGAATATGTGGTCAAACCTTATGGCCCAGTGAAGGGGAGTAGAGTTCAAGTCTCCACCGAGTTGATCAACTATAGCACCTTTAGAAATAAAATACCTGAGGAAGAAAAAAATATTGTTGTGAAGATCTATGATGCTCCAGACCTAATGACTGCATTATAAGTGTGTTCATTATTGATGAGCTGTTTCAGACACTAAAACATCACAGACACCTCCACTCTGTCTCTAGGCTGAACATGCTCCTGATTCTAATTTAAATAGTCTAAAATAATCTAATCTGATCTGGATTAAATTCATTGTATGAATAGAGAGAATAGCAACAGATACATGTCATACTGTTGCAGTGTTTTATCTATAAGCCTGACAAGTTGCAGATATTGTTCTGTTTATGTTTCTGTAAGATTCTTACTTGACCAGCTCCGGGCGGTTGTTGATGGCAGCCCAGTGCAGCAGTGACACATTCTCTTTATCTGGCTGTCTGACGTCATATCCTGCTTCTACCAGCTCCTTACAACGCTCCAGGATTCCAAACCTGCAGAGATGACACAAAGGCTTCATCTGTGAAAGTCACACCAGCGCACTTAAATGATACCAAATCATTAGAACCTATGGAATTAATTAAAAAAATGAGTTTCTTAAAGGTGATATTTACAAAGCTGAAATATGTGATCAGGATTGGATATCAGAACGCGGTGGGGACAATAGTGATGAACGGTGAGATTAGAGGTAAGGAGTGGCTGGGCTGGTTTCTTTTTTTTAAAAAAGCGACCTTTGCTCTGCTGAAGTTCAATTCAATGAGTAAGAGAAGGCGCAGCTACTGGTCCTTGTTTGAACTCATCCCAAGGCAGTGTGTGCAGAGTTACTCTCTCTGAAATGTGTAGTATTTTCAATCTGTACCAAAACAAGAAAAAAAACTGAGTTGTCACTGAAAAAGTCAAAGAGTCTTTGTGCGTTCCTGTCTCATTCCTTTCATCCTTCCTAAATGTGCACTGAGAAAATACCTGACACAGCAAGAAAAAATGGATTTGTTATCAGTGTTGTAAGGACACACTTTAATAAAAAAGTACGAAAAAATGGATCATTTGCAATGATGAAACAACCAAACTCTTTCAAGATGCAATTAAAAACAACGAGATTCATCATCTTATGAGGATTTTACAGGCGTATCCATAAATGTACTTGTCTGCGCCATCTGCCATTTTATTATACATGTAACATAAGATGCTGGTAAATAAAAAAAAAGTCTTTAGCTTCTAAGACATAAAAAACATCATTTTGAGTCGAGCAGCTTTTCATTGACTGTCTTTTATGGAAGTGATAATGAATGAAATAAAACCTCAAGGAGTTACCATTGATGTTTATTCACTTACTGCGTGGCTTTCACGATGTCCCAGCTCCTGCTCTCATCACCGAGCGAGCGTTTTTTGGGCTGCTGCGTGTGAAAGTCCATCATTTGGTCTGCGCTCTTGCCAAATGATCCATGAAAAGCTGGCATGAAGGGATGAGCATTTCCGCCAAAAGCAGCCCCTCTCGGACCGTGACTGTGTGAATGGCCTGCATGTCCGTGATGACAGCTGTCATGCATGTGACTGTGATCCTGCCACAAAAACACAGACAAACATAAGGAATCTCATCCAAGCCAAACAGCCTGGCAGAGGTCGGACAAATACAAGCCAGTCAGATGAGTGGACTGTGGTTTAAATTAGATGAGAACTGAGATTGGCAATCTGATTTGCTTAATATCCTTTCAATTACTTTTTGTTAACTGTCTAGACTATTAAAAGTAAGAATATCTCTAGAGGAGTGTATTTGATCATCAATGAAAGATACTCAGTTTTTCTACTTTATTAACCTTTAAAATGGGTCAGAATGTTGTGTAAAAGTGTAAAAATGTGTGAACCACAGCAGTAAACGATCATTTCCTAAATAACTAAGGGTTGTTTTCTCATGTGTTGGGCTTTGCAGCATGTGATAGCTATGGTTAAATATGTGAATTTATTATTTTACTTATATTTAGAATGCAAGGCTTTGACTATAAATCTGTCCGTGTTTTACTGCTGGTTTTAAAGAATCACAAACTAAACTGTGGGACCAAAAGATGATTTATTAGCTTCAGTTTCAGGTACCAGTTTGCAGACATTTTTCCGGTTCGAGGAATGCTTTTTTTACCTCCTGAGACAGAATAAAAACATTTTTTCAAACTGTCCTGTGTGACAAGAAGAACCTGTTACCGTAATGACTGATGTAACTGTTTACTTTGTCCAATACGAAGGACAATTAATAAAAACCTAAACGAAACCTGTGATTCGCAACGAAATAGTTAAATATGTGACATCAGAAACATAACCATCATGACAGCCACGATTATGTCTATAACGTGGACGTCGACATTCTTTAAACGAACAGAAACTGGCTACCTCAGCTGCCTCCTCGGGCCCAATCATGAAATAAAATCATGAAATCTGCTAACGGACAAGTGGACAGTGAAAATGATTCCACTATCGATTGGCATACGGCGATTCCGCCTCAAACAAACTTACTGATAGGCGGAAAAATGTTATGAAAAAAAAAAACACCAACGCGCCTGTCCGACTTTACCAAACCCTTTATATATTATAAAACTTTAGAAACTGCAACCATCGCATATTCTATAGCTGAACCAACAATCACGAATGGATCTAAAGCAGCAGGTATAAAAATAAAGTGTTCTTACGCCTTCGTTCTCGGTCCAGTCCATCTTCCTGTGTAAGGTGGAACGTAGTGAAAGTTCCTGTCACTGCACGGACCGTGATCACCGAACCATTTCCGCTTTGTGATTTTCACAATAAACGTTATAACACACCCGCAAATCAGTTCACTACAAAGATAAAATTGTATTCCTAAAATCCAACGGAACGTCCACGACACAATATATGAAAAAGCTATCGTTTCCAAAAGCGTGGCATAGAAACAGGAAGTATCCACTGGTTGGCGAGAACAACGTGGTTCTCCAAATTAAAAATCAGTTATTGTGAAACCGAAGCTACATCTTGCTATACATTTAATACCAGTAAACATTTCCATAACATGATTTGAGTTTAAATTACATTTTCTAGTTTCTATATTCATTATAACTAGAATGACGAGCTATCATTTGACTTATAGCCCCACGATCACTATATAAGGTTATAGTGAAAACAAAGCTGCAGTCATTATTGATATAGAGGTTAACAATAACCCTGCAAAGGACATTTAATGAATTAATCATTAATTAACGTTTTTCAATTAAACTCAAATTTGTTAAATATACATCTTAGCGACATGTCCTCTATATAATTTCGAAATAATACGTTGAATTTATTTGTTTTTAGGAATCTCCAAGTGTCTGAGATTCTGCAAATAACGAGACTGCTAATTGAAGAATGTTTGGATAATTTCTTGTTTTGTACCTTGCACCTTAAAATCTGAGCAATAGATGGCGCTGTTGTTTTACCTATCATATAAAGATGCATTTTCTCCCTTTCAGGTTCAGTTGTCATATTAAAAATAAAAAGTTCATCGGATTTTTTTTTTTATCTTTGTGGAATATATTCCAGTTTCTTTTTTATGAAGGCTCATCTGAAAATTCAACCTTATGCATCATTCCTTTAAATGCCAACATTTCTAACCCTAGAAAGAAAGAGTTTATGAAACGTATATTTAAAGTGAACAACAATTTAATAAATGTCCTAAAACTATGTAAAACTATATTAAATAAAGATATTAATGTTGTAAATGGAATGTATCAATTTACATGTATTAATTTAGATAATGACTGTTAGTCACTAATGTAAGGAATACAAATAAATGCACTTATGTCAACTGCAAGACATTCTGTTTGGATGATACATTGATCTAAAAAAAGACAAGTTTTTTAAGTTTTACTAACATATTTGCTTTGTTGCATTGATTAAAAAAATCTTTAAATGCTCCAATTATTTAGAAATGTGCTGATACAAACGTGAAATATACACGTGAAGGTAGGATGTATTTAAACGGTGTGAGAAGTTCAGACAAATTTGTGTACAGACTGCAGGTAACTGTATTTGAATCCTGAGCAGAAGTAGTTGAGATGATAGAAGGAAGTCATAACACTAGAGGTCAAAGGTCAAGATTGCTATAGTTGGCATGATACACTCGGCCATATCCAAGACAGCTTGGCGTGTTTCTATCAAAAGAAAATGACGCTTACACTTTGTTTCTGAGTGATTAACATCTTCTCCATTGGTTTGAAATCAGGTTATTAAGGAAGTTAAGGTCAGCCAATGACCACATGCAGAGGATGTGTGTTTGACTGCTGATACAGAGCAGCAGACAAAACTAAATGAATGGACCTTGCTCTCAGTGTTTCTGGAACAGAACAATGGTGGAATTGTGTGAAAATCTCTTAACTCCCTTCTGGCGTAGTGGTATTGTTTTTGAAAACTCACAACATGTTGAACTCACAGACTGCATTGTAACCACATGACAACATTTGCTTCTCATGATAACAACTTGGTATTTTAATATTTAAAAATGACATTGTTGGATGTATATTTTATGACAGAATGAAATATTATAATGTATTTGATACGTGAACCGCAGAGTATTTTATCAAATTACAGCACTTAGAATAACTTTTTAAATTATATTTTTTAATGAATTAAATAATTTCTATCTTTGTGTCCAAATATTATTAGCATTTACAAAACTCTGTTAAACAAATTCTTTTATATTATTCTAGAAACTGAGAATCACTTCTACACAGCTTCTATGTTTCTCACCCACGACACATACATAGTATTTGTCCCCAGTGGAGCGTTTTAGTAAAACAAAGCTCCTGTGCATTTAACATTTGTCATTTTGGTGCCTTGAATACAACACATTGTACAGACTGAACAAAAGAAACTGATGAGAAGAGTCTTGATAGGAAAGGCGTTCTTTCAACTGCTGTCCTTTGGGATGAGGCCTGATTATTCTGCCACACACTGAACACTGAACTCATCTACTACATGAACTAATCAGTCCAACACCACCATAACCATTAAAATTCTCCCATTCGCCCGGATAGGCAACACAAGTTGCCCCTTCCCCCAGTGCAACCCCTGCCCCGTCCTTCATTGTAAGTTCATTGGCAGGGTCAGGGTCTGCATTTGAACCAGAGGACCAGTGGTATTCAGGGCTAAAGGTCAGGCCTGAACGATGGCATCTATAGCTGTGAAGGTCACGCATTAAAACCCAGCCTGACCTCTTTAGCACTCTGCATGGTAATACTGTTAGAGATTCTAGTGGGAGCCGCAGGATGTGGTGTTTGAAACAAGTCTGTTTTGAAAGACAGTTCAAGAGACGCGCAGCAGTAAATCAGTGTGAATATGGACAGTTATGTTCTGTGGGGAATGAAAGACATTAAGAGCTCCGGCTGAAAAATGAAGATAGAAAATCCAGACACTTCAGGCTGACACTGAGGCTGCTGGTCAGAGTTCAGGGTGGAGCAGAGCTTTGTTTTGCAGTTTTGCTCAGCGAGTTCAGGGACAGAATAGAGAAGCCACATTACAAGATGGGTTCATTAGATCACATGGGTCAGGGAGAGCCATTCAATAAATGGGGGCACGCCACATTGAATCAAAGAATGTTCCAGATGAAACAGAATAAGGGCGGCATATTTGCAAAGGTTAATGTGTTCTAACAAATAAAAGAAGTTCAATGTGTAATTCAGTTGAAGAGGCTGCTGATCTTCACTACAACGTGGGTGCGAAATAAATTCATTTATAGTTAGGACTGACAGTGTGTGAAGAGAAAAAAAATAGAAAAATCTGTGAAAGAAAAACAAATTCAATGCAAAGTCTACAGACTTTTAACAACACTGGGGATTTTACAGTTACGATTATGAACTTTCTTTCCTGAATGTCATTGTGTGTTGACTGGATAGACCACTGCACTGCTGTCCTTGTCCCAGTCATGTCCTGTATACATATCATATGAACTGGACAGAGATGGAGAAAACAAACATCCACCTTTACTTAGAAAGTTTTCTTCTCCAACATATGTTGTCATTTATCCAAACCATAACTAGATCTTCAGCCAATTTTTGTGAACTGTGGTGTGTAGTTGTCAGAAGAGAAAGGGAAAGAATAAAACATGAGGAAAAACTGAAGAGCAGACACAGTCTGTGATTGACAGCTTGATTGTCCAATAAAGGCTGATGATGCAGGGCCACCAGTGACATTCATTTAAGTCTTGTCATTGTATTGGACAGTCCTGCTCAATCGCTTCTATATAAGGATGATAAGATAGGAGAAAAGTAATTAACCTGTTGTCATTCAACATGTTTGCTAAGTACAGTATATTTTAATACATGGATTTGAATTGTTCAGCAAGTAAGATGCTAACGATCTCTGTGGCTGCAGGTGCTTGAGTGTGAACAAATACAGATACTTCTTTTGCTGGCTCTAACAACGTCAGACTATACCGATATAGTTATATAACATTTAAACAGTTTAGCGCTTTGAAGGTTAGCTGCTTTATAAGAATCTTTTTTTAATCCATTGTCCTGTAAACGCATTGGCTGCTATGATACACTCTTCCTTGAAAGAAAAAAAAGGTATACAATCAACAGAATAGAAGTGAATAAATGGCGACCACCAGTGACCCTATGAGGAATGTGCATTTTCCTTGTTCACACCCACATGTACATGCTGGCTGGGATCAACGCTGTTTATTTTAAACCTATGACTAGGCCTGTGCTAAATACATCCTTTATAATGAACCTCTCTGAGAGGTGGCAGCCTCCCGCCCCCACGCACAAACATAAAGGAGTGTGGATGATTATATGTACTGAGACCCTCATATCCGCTGCAGCTAGTAAAACCTTGGGGTGCAGCACTTTAAGTAGACCACAGGTGTCAGCTTTCTGCTGACTTCTCGTCAGCGTCAGAGCTGTACAGGCGGGTAAAGAAAAGAGGGGCAGGGAGGTTGGGGGTTGATAGAAAAGGGGAAAGGTGGGTGGCTGAGCGACTGACATGAAAACTACATAGGGCAGTGGGGGTGATAATCCCAGCTAATGCCCCCTGTCTGCCCCATGTCTGCAGTGGCTCTGCCGTGAGTGGCAGATCGTACACACATGAAAAAGGTTACTGAGGTGACAGATCTCCCTTTATGGGGTGGGAGGTTGGGAGGGAGGGGGAGGGTGCAGTGATGGCTGCTGCTCTGTCTGCAGCTGCTGCAGCAGTGGCATTTTCTGCAGCTGATTCAGCAGAGCTTGAGTCCTCATGTCATTGTTGGTCATGTATTATGTAACAGGCTGTCGGGACATTTTACGCCTGCAGACTGGGACGTGGTCGGACAAGACGCTGGAGTCGGTCGAGTGTTTGTGAAAAAATGACTCAACACTGAAGCACATTTGTGTAACATCACCTCATATTAATATGAAGTCAAACACAATTGAAACGTTACAGCATTGTAATTGTAATTAATGATGAAAACACTCGTGTACAAGGCAGTTTCCTTCTACAGAGCAAGAAAGTTTACTAGAGTTAAATGTCTTGTTAGCAATAAAAGTAACATTTAAAAGAGATAGACAGCCCGGTTTTTAATATTTTTGTCTAGTAGAGCTACAAATGAGCTTTGATGTCTTTTCGGAAGTGTTTTTTTTTATCTTAAAGATTACCCTTAAAATTATATGAAGCCAAATGCATCTTGTCTTGTCATCACCATGTTAATGTCCATAAAGTAGACAACGTT